TAGAATCTCTCACTACAACAAATGCAAATCCAGATGGAGTATGGTTGTTTGAGTTTATAAAGCACTCAAAATCTGCATAAATTACAAAAGGGGCTTTAAGTTGATATTTATAATTTTTAAATTGTAATGTATCTTGTTTAGACATTTCCACTCGTTGGGCATCAAAGTTTTTACAATATGTTATATGACGCTCCAATTTATCATTAGTATAAAAATGTTGCAAACACAACTTGCAAAAATGCTTCTTACAATTGTATTTTGTAGAGTGGAACATTAACTTATTAAAATCACGAATTAAACAATAATGTGATTTACGACCTTCTTGTAATAATAATAAATCTACGTGAGTATTGCTATTCAGTTTAGTTGTTCTTAATGGATATATACATTTATCATCTTCAACCCCAAATACATTAACACTTATATTATTTTGTCTTTCAAATTTATCTATATCAGATATTTTCACAGGATACTTTATGTTTGTCATATTCAGCTGACCTATGTAGGGTGCATAGCTGGAGACTCTATTAGCATTTTCATTAGAGTTCCTTGGATATAAAGCTGCTAATACCGACCAAAGAAAGCATCTATTGTCAGGATTCTTTATATTTAAAACAGCATGTTTTGATTTAATACTCTCTGGTGTGGGAATATATGACTTTGGAGTTAAGGGCTTATACTTGTAAACGTGCAACTGCCAATACTTAGTATGGTCATATATCCATCCACTACCTTGGGCTTGGTATTTGTGCATAGATGCATCAATCTTTAAAAGTGCATTTTCAATTTGAGGCTTTAAATCTCTCTTCTCAATAGTTAAGGTGGTAAGGCTTCTAAAATCTGCAATACATTCTTTTTCATTAACTAATTGCCCATTTTGATCCATTGAATATTTTATAAATTTAATTCTCCTTACTAAAGTCCATTTTATTGGCAGAGGACAAGACTGAAGAGTATTTTTAAGTTCAGTTCTAATCGATTCACCAACAAATTCAATCATTGTATATGGACAATTATTACAAGAATTGACATGTCTTTTAAAATGACCAACCACATTTTTCTTACAAAAATTACAATGCTTATGACTTTGTAATATATGCGATTTTAGAACCACATTATCATCACAGATTAAATCACATACCTTGCACAGTTTCACCTTCATTTGATGTACTAGCTTGTAGTGGCGGACCAAATTGCTCTTCTTGGACAGCGAGGCGGAGCAGTGTTGACAGGTCGGCATCACGCTCGAGAATGAAATATCACCCGGATGCCACTTCTATATATAGGCTCGTCCCCGGTGACGTCACCACCTGAGGATTCCCCAGTCTCGTGACCGCTTCACTTGGCCCTTGTGACAGTGCCCGTAAAACTATCTAAAAACGCTTATATCTCGAAAACGGCTTGAGATACGGCAAAACGGTTGAAATTCTGGCAAACGTAGTGGGTGTCAACTTTTGATTATAAACAATATTACAACATAAAAAAATCAAAAAGTAAGAAAAAAATTTAACATTATTTTATATGGGTACAAATAAAATTTACCATGAAAAATCGTCTAAGTCCGTAAAACTATCTAAAAACGCTTATATCTCGAAAACGGCTTGAGATACGGCAAAACGGTTGAAATTCTGGTAAACGTAGTGGGTGTCAACTTTTGATTATAAACAATATTACAACATAAAAAAATCAAAAAGTAAGAAAAAAATTTAACATTATTTTATATGGGTACAAATAAAATTTACCATGAAAAATCGTCTAAGTCCATAAAACTATCTAAAAACGCTTATATCTCGAAAACGGCTTGAGATACGGCAAAACGGTTGAAATTCTGGTAAACGTAGTGGGTGTCAACTTTTGATTATAAACAATATTACAACATAAAAAAATCAAAAAGTAAGAAAAAAATTTAACATTATTTTATATGGGTAGCATGCATTTTATATGGGGGAGCGCGTCCAAGTTCGCGTACAAAGCTTGCACTGTCAAGTTAATGATTTTGAGAATGGATGTGGATTTGAAATAGTAATGGAGTTGTACATTGGTATTGAACATTTATATAGGCTTGTATAGGCCGAGAGCTGGATTTTTAAAAAAGTGGTCAAAAAAAGCTCACCATGTTATTCTTATGGGGAAAACGTGCCTAAAGTGATGTTAAACCCCTATATTGCCTCTACTCACGTCGTTTGTAAAAATCTGTCCATTATTAACGGAGGAGTAGTGTTTCGTAGAAATCGCCTTTGTCATCAATATATCTATAAGTATAAAAGAGGATGTTTGTATATATATTTGTTTGTTTGTTTGTTTGGCAGGGCTAAACTCGGTCACCGCTCGACAGATTGTAATGAAACTTTCAGGCATTATTAAGCATTATTCAAGGAAGGTTTGTGTGAAGTTTGGTGCTGATTCGTCAAAAGGGCTCCGCCCCAGTGGCTCTGGAGTTTCCCATGTTAACCTTATGAGAAATGGAATTAAAGAATCTTAACAGCTGTTTCAATTAAACAAGTTGGTTCTGTTCTATGATGTTCGATAGCATTAAAGTTACAAGGATTACCAAGAGGGTGCAGCACTATTATTTCTTTTACATTTATGACAACAGCTAATTTGCAACCAAAAGGTGAGTGAGCGTAGCGAACGAACTTCAACCTGGAGGCGAGTTAGCGTAGCGAACGAGCTAACCTGAAGGCAAGTGAGCGTAGCGAACGAGCTAACCTGAAGGCAAGTGAGCGCAGCGAACGAGCTCCAACCTAAAGGTGAGTGAGCGTAGCGAACGAGCTCCAACCTAAAGGTGAGTGAGCGTAGCGAACGAACGTCAACCAGGACGTGATTGAGCCATGCGAACGAGATCATCTTGAAAATTAAACGTAACGGTACTTAAATTATAAATAGTCAAAGGCAAGACAACGTCTGCCGGGTTCAGCTAGTTGTATATACAATATATTGTGTTGTATAATATATTGATATTATCATCAAAATCTGACCATAGATTTAGTTTGTAGCTCTGTACACATGCACACACACATAGACATCCCTTGAAAACCCACTTTTTCGAGATCAGGGACCCAAAATGGATATATCCACCCAAAACTCAAACTCATAATAATGTTTCCCCAATCAAAATATTGCCAACACAAAACTCCCCCCCACCTTTCTGCTGGATGTAGTGTATCGTGTTATTTAGTCCAGGCGCTGAGGGGATTTGAGCATGCATAAAAGTGTAACGAAATTTAACTCTTGATTGCTGCTATGGGTACCTAGTAGATGAAGAAAACCGATGTTGTCACATTCCTAGATGGTTAATAACATAGGGGGGGGAGGGGGTGAAGTTAAAGGGGCCGCCACGCACAAAATAGCTTATATTCCGAGAACCAAAAATCATATGAATACGTTAGACATGTCAAACTGTGCAGAAAAATGCATTCTAAAAAGGTTATGAAGTATAGGAACTTGGGGCAAGAGTGCACACTTACAGTTTAACCCCCCAAAAAATAGGTCAAACTATTAACAATTGAAACAAAACTAATAGTAAGCAATCGTATGTTAGTTGATAACCAAACTACATTTTACTTTTACAATTATCATTAATCATTTATAAAATAATAATATTATAAAAAGTTACATTTGTGAACTCTTGCCCCGTGGGTGGGGCAAGAGTTCCTACGTAAAGGAGCAAATGGACGCACATTGTTTAAAAAAGCACGCAAGATATACTGAAACAGATTTTATTAGTACAAACACTCATTCACTTAAATACTACAAACAATTTAAGTTTAGCACGTTATTGGAGACAATTAGTTCTTTTTAGCAGTAATCACAAGTGAATTTGTTCCCATCCTCATAATTTGAACAAGAGTCATGAATTCTTTGCATGGAGTGCATTGAATCCAGTCCGTCTTTGGCGGTTCCTCAGGACAGATAATTTTGGTACTTGATGTCCTAGGTTGTTGAATTGTTCTTGTACCTTTGGATTTCTTCAACGAGGTGTGAACACTGAAATAACATGTTTGGGGCATGCGAGCTCTTGCCCCAATGGCAATGTGAGCTCTTACCCCACATTCAAAGTTTTTACATGTAAAACTTTTGTAAAAGTTGAGCTGCTGCTTGCTGTGGCCATTAATGGAGCTTAACTAACATGGATATAAACGATATAGAATTGAAACGGTTGAATTAATTATTGGAATATCATATACTAATTCCCAAATTCTTGAATATTAAATCAGAAATAACGGTAAAATGTTCTTATCTCATTGTGAGACGAATAAGCGGAGAGGAACCATCAAACTACAGAGGAATGACGAGGGTACTTTTTTGCACCGGATGAGACTTAGTAAAACCAACTAGCTCAAGCGCAAAGTAAAAATTCCCGCTCTGCGTACTCTTACCCCGTGCACACTCTTACCCCGAGTTACTCTATAGTTTGATGAAAAAGGATAAAAAGTTAGTGAAAATTAAATATTTTGAATTTACGATAAGTTTAATCAGGAATATTATGATTTTTGTTGCTGTTTAGAACCACCGATTATTTAAATAACAACTTTGAAGAGTAGTGTACAATATGGAACTATTATTCCGTAGAATTAATCTTTTTTAATTTAAAAAAGAATCTTTTTTAGAATTAATTTTTCTGCACAGTTTGAAACGTCTAACGTATTCATATGACTTTGGGTTCTCGAGATATAAGCTATTTTATGCGCGGCGCCCCCCCCCCAATTTAACCCCCTCCCCCATGCTATTAACCACCTAGGAATGCGACAACATTGATTTTCTTCATCTACTAGGTACCCATAGCAACAACCAAAAGTCAAATTCTGTTACACTTTATGCATGCTCAAACCCCCTCAGCGCCTCGACTAATTGGCATGTGGAGGAAAAAGTAAAAATGTTTGACAATATTTTTCTTTATTTTGTAAAAATGGTTTTAAAACTTTGGCCCCTCAGTGGTTACCATTGTATTGTTTAACATCATCAATGTCTGTTAATACCAAGGACTTGTTTATCTATAGGTAAAAGAAGATTATGTAGTAACTACTGGAACTTTTGGAGTAATGGAGGAAGATGACAGCAGGGGCTCATCCAAGAAAATATATCTGGATCCGTCTCAGGAATTGATTCCTGTCCCAAAGTTGTTTTGGAAAATATTAGCAAATCCTAATAAAAACTCGTGTATCGTTTTCCTTGTTCATAATAATCCCTTTCTGAACAAGAAACCATCTACAATTTGTAATAATATTTGTCAACAGTATGGGTGGCCGACTGACATGGAAAGTGTAGCAAAAGGTTTTACCTACTGTTGCACTTTTGCAGATTTTAAGAAAGTTGTTAACTATGCTCCTGAGTTGAGCTGTAAGAATGTCCTTGATAGTTTTTAACAAATTTTGTATTGTTTAGTGATACAATGTTAGTAACACAGTGACAGATTTACTTATAGCTGTGCCGATGTCAATATGTAATAGGTAGGTATTGTCCGTTGCTCTTTTGTGATTAAAAAAAGGGAATAGATATACAATAGACAATATTCTTTATTCATCCAAGTACATTGTACAATTGAATAGGGTCAGCAATCAATTATTATTCTAATGATACATGTTTTAATATTGGTTTGTTTAAGAGGTAGGTTAACAAAGTCATCCAGCGAGTAAATAACTTTGTTAATTAAATGTATTCTTTTTTAATATTTTCTGGGATTTTTTAAAAAGCTTTTTCACCAGCATATGTTGGTTTTTTTAGTCTGTATTGATTTCTCCTTATAGAGTTCTATTTTATAGTGTTATAATAATGATATATAGGCTCGTGGGGGACATCATTAGGAATTTTGTTTTTTGCACATAAAATGACGTCAGGAACATATTAACCATAATCCGTTAGTATTTTTAACTGTCTGAAATGATCTCTGGCCGAATAATCTATATTCAATTTCAGCATTAATCTTATATACCCCTTTTGGGGTCTTAACATACAATCCAAAAATTTGTTTTTTTTTTTTTTTTTTTTTTTTTTTTTTTTTTTTGCTCCAAATACAGTAGAACCCCTCATATCCGGCCTTGGTTTTACCGGTCCTCTGTTTATCCGGCCCCTTCCAGGAAGCCAATAAGAAAATGTTTTTCTCGCATCTTACAGACATTTAGATGCAAGCACTAGTCTTTGCGTTTACTCAAGTCATAAAATGAATTGTTCTCACTATTTATCTGTTTGTTTATAATTTATTTACTGTGTCACTATACTCAGTTGAGCTAGTAGGCCTAACCTCTGAACAGTTGGTTGATTATTTTCCAAAGTGGGGTTAGTACAGTACAGTACCGTACCGGTACATTAATTTTTGTATTTCACTAAGTGGATAAGAAAGTTGAGTAACTTATAAATGCATGTACCATTTAAGTCCTAATGATCTTCAAGTCCAATTCATTGTCATTTAACCTCCATTATTGTTTAATATTTTTTGTAGGCCTACCTGGAATCATAGTATTTGTACTATCATTACTTAACGACTTTAGCTTACAAATAATTTTTTTTCAGTTATAAACATGTTTATTCTTCTAAAAATAATCCCAGAACAGACTTGAATGATACTTTTGACTGCATATATTGATTAGATAATATTATTAGATCAATGGTCATTTTCATAGTAGGTTGGTTTATCCGGCCAAATCGTTAACCGGCCAGGGGCTTGGTCCCGTGGTGGTTGGATATGAGGGGTTCTACTGTAAACAAATGACAAAATAAATATTAGAATGTAAGTAAGCAAAATAATATTTTTAATGTTGTTAAATTACAAAAAAAAAGACATTTTTGAAAGTGAATGAATTCCAGAGTTAATTTTTATTAAGATCTTCTTTACATGTTCTTCAATAAAGGTGTGTTTATTGATAGTCAGGCCAAGAAAATTTGTACTTGACTTTGGATCAATTATGTGGGAATCAAACACTATCATTACCTAGTTCTGTTTGACCCCTATTTTGTGGAGTTTTAAATGTTATAAAATTGGGGTTTTTCATGATTTATTGTTAAATTTTGATACATTAAGTAATATCCAAGGTTTCCAAGTTCTATGAAAGCAGCCATTTCCGTTTGTTCAATTTTAGGTGTTTAAATGAGTAAGTTTATATCTTCAGCATACAGACATAGTTCACTGATAAAGGTTTACAGGAAAGTGCTTTGTCCATGTCCTTCACATAGCACAGGAATAGTTATTGTAAAGTCAAAAAGGTAAGTTTTTATTTTGCAAATCTTAAAAATCTGTTCCAACAAAAGACACAATTAAATCAATGCTTTTGCCTTTTAGGTAGAAACCTACAGACTTCAAAATCTAACTTACTTACTTACTTACTTACTTTTTTAGTATATGAGTTTAAATTTGGAAGAATAAGAAACCACCATTGAAAAATATAGTTACAGGCAAAATGATTCCCAACAAAACTTTCCAATACAGAAGAAGATCTTGTCTGAGTCACCCATTTTTTATAGATCCATGGACCTTTTCTATATACTTACCTTCACAGCATTTGAAAAGTACATTTCATTTCATGACAATCTTATTAGTTCTTTTGCATACAGCACTAAAATTAAGATAACAACCTTTCAACTAATTATGTTTTTTTTATGAATAAGACTATAAAGAAACTTTTAATGTCCCAAATTTTAAAAAGTTTTTAGTATTACGGTATACTCAAAGCTCATGATTTATAAAAAGTCACATGTAAATAAAAACAGTACCTTCTACAAATTCAGCCAGGCAGAAGATATATATATATATATATATTTTAATTGCTATATTGGGGGGAAAAATTTGCTATACTACTGTAAATCACCTTTTCATTATATGTTTATCACCTCCAAAAATTTTACATTACATTTTTTACTACAAAAAAAAATGTCTACTATGCAATTGGTAGTATATTTCATAACAAGAGTAGAAAGTGAGTCATTACATATTTGAGACCATGTTTAAAGTGCAAGATTTATCGAGCACTTTAAATGGTCGAAAATTTGTATAGACTCACTTTCACTCGTGTTTTGAACGTTACTTTTCGCTACACTACAAAGAATAACTATTTTCTTCATTACAAAATTCATAGACATTTTTAGGTTATGCTTTCAATTTAAAATTAATGTTCCCCTTAGTTGTTGAAAATTGAAACAGTTGATAAAACAATAACAAATATTTGTTTGTTTACGTCGGCAAAATCCAAAAGATAGTAAACATTACTTTCGCATAGTAAACATTCTTTTGCTGTAGTAAACCATGTTATGATAGATTTTCGTAGGTGATAAACATGCAACAAAAACATGTCATTTCACAGTAGTGTAGCAAAAAAGTTTTTTTTAACATGTATTTTATTTACAATCTGTTCTATAATAGAACAATAAGTAAAATGTCATAACAATTTAACATGAGTTAATTTCACTCCAACGAGTGCACTAACATGCAAAACCAAACATTTTATAAACAAATTAAACTAGAACCATGCAAAAGTAATGTTGACTATCTGTTTTGAGCATACCGACATAAACAATCAACATTTGTTATTGTTTCATCAACTTTTTAAATTTACAACTCCAACTGTACACTCGATGTAAATTTGAACTTTAAATAATATTCTATTAGTTTTGAAATGTTCCTAACTGTAATAAAGAAATATTCCAATATCTAGTTTTAGGTTAAGAATAATTAGTCTTTGTTGTGTGTAGCGAAATTAACGTTCAAAACACGAGTGAAAGAGGTCATTACATATTCTCAACCATAATTAAAGTGCTCGATAAATCTAAAACTTCAAACATAGTGGACTCACTTTCAACCCTTTTTATGAATTATACTATTCAGATATGCAACAAGATTGATCATTAAATTTGAAACTAAGGGTTTGTACAGTTATTACTACTTATTACTCAAATGATATGGTTCAAATTGCATAGTTTTAGCTACTTGTTCAATGTACAAATACAGTTATGTATAACAAAAAGTTATTATTATATTATGTATGTGTGGAAAGGCACTAATAAATATATTAAGTTACTGAGAAAATGTATTATAGTTGTTATCATGAGTCACTTTCCTTCCTGAAATATCTTTCTTTTTTTTTGTCTTAGGACACTAGGCACGAGCCCGAGATTGTTTTCACATTACTTCAGGCTAGACCTAGGGGTTGTGGCATTATCACTTAGATCAAATCCATTGGTGATTTTGCGGGATTTGAACCCAGGACCTCTTGGACCGAAGTCCCGCGCTCTAACCACTAGACAAGCTCGCTAACCCATTTAAAGATAGTATAAACAGCCCAACCACCATGGGGGAGTAACTGTGATGTTTTCTGGTAACTTTAGAGGATACTCTGCCTGTTGTGGTGCGGGTAGGAGGGCCGACGAGATCCATGCATCTCTGAAGCGGTCCACTTTGAGGCCAACCATAGAACGCCTCTCACTCACATTAAATATGAGTGCTGTTTGCATTGATTGACAAGGAACTGAGGAATTCCCAGAGATTCTAATGAAGGATGGAGACGAAACATTAGAAAATATAAATAGGATAATAACCAGTCCTCCTTCACTTGGTGTTGGTGTTGTCAGATCACAAGAAAAACTGATAACCAGTGTCTTTCTAGAAGTTCATGAACTACTTAACATGGATAGTGCCTGGCTCTGTGATTGTGCAATTCTGACATTTAAAATTATCAAGCAACCCAGATAAACATTTAGGCGATGGCTCTCTTCCATGTTAAAGAACGTACGTACAAATCAGTGAACACTGTCCGGTGAGAAGACGATTAAACTACCCGGCAGAGTTTTTTTTTAACTCAGTATCAGCAACCGATCATTGAAGCAAAGATTCTCATGGGTTTTGGTGCTGGGGAGTTGGTATTTATTCCAATAATTCCATTAATTCCTATCAACTACCCGTTTGAGTTTAAGCGGCTACAGTTCCCCGTCACAGTTTGCTTCGCTATGACAATTAATAAATCACAAGACCAGACGTTGTCCACAGCCGTGGTGGAACTGAGCAGATCAGCATGTTTCCCACACGGGCAGTTGTAAGTTGCGTGTTCTAGAGTGAGATCCAGCAAAAGCCTCTCCACTCATGCTCCGGGCGGCCAAACTGCAAACGTAGTGTATGAGGAGGCACTCAGATAAACCACACACATCCTCATTGTCAATGAAAGAAACCTTGGGTGAACGAAGGGGAAGATCTTCTAAATATCATATTTTAAACCACTTCTCATTTAAATGTTTTATTGTAATCTTTTGTAAAAAAATCCATATTATTATCCTTATGTTTAATAGTTTAACTGTCATTATTTACATACTTCTTTTTGATACACCATACTTACTATTGTGTTAGTTAACTCCTTTTTTTATTATTACTGTAAATTAAATTCTTGAATTTATACTTGACATAACAAGATTCCTCATTGTATTTTTTGTACCTACTGTATATTTTATTCAACCCTTACGTACACACACACACACACACACAGCTAGTAACATAATAAAATGAGACCCTGGCATACAGCATCAAATGCACAATATTCATTCACAAGTATTCACAATTCAATTCAATTCAATTCAAAGATACTTTATTCACATATATACAAAAGTATACATGAATGGCGTTCAGAACAATACATCATACATTATATCGCCTAATAACTAGATAGAAAATAGATACATTATACATATATTTAAAATAAATATTCATTTAAATAACCTTAAACCATAGACTAACCAACACAAGTAGACTTCTCATCCCATTGTAAATTTTGAAGCACGTTTTTCGTGTCTAGTTCATGTACGGTGACACTGGGCGCTAGTGTCGCCGAAATTTTGTTTCTATTATTTTAGGGTTAATTTCTTGATTTGTGCTTTACTGTTTGGTTATATAACTAGGGGACAAGTTATTGTTTATGATTAGATCTTATTATGTGGTTAAGAGTGAAAATTTAAAAACGTACGTTTTCATGTCCCTGGCCTT